ACCTAGACAGTGGAAACTGGATGCCAAAGAGCTAGCTGCTGGAAAGACCCTTCGAGAGAAAGAGAACATCCGTGCGAAGAAACTAAGGCAAGAGTCCCCTAAGGTTTTGGCATACATTGCCCTGCTTTTAGAAATCTCCAACAACACTCTACTATATGGCTATCATACAACTTCGAGTAAGTTCAACTCTATACTTAAAGCTTTGTTCGATATATTTTATTCGATGCAAAAGATCTTATCTAGTTCTATGATTAAATCCATGCAGCAACCACAGGATTTGTATAGGCGTCGATGTCAGGAGGAGCATGGCATGGGTCTTTGATTCAATAGATAGGGACTCGGTGACATATAAAGACTTCATATCGATTCTCAAGATGTATACATATCGACAATCCTCATTAGCTTATATGTTTGTATACATACTTGTAACGTTCACTTCTGGATACTAACAAGTTGTATTTGCTAAAATAATTCGAATAGGGCATTCAGGTTCTATTTCCCTGTTCGCTTGCTCGTAAACGATCGTAAATTTCCAGCCGGGAACAGTGTTTTTCTCTCACACCAAACCAGCCAGCAATAAATAATCCACGATACGATATGGCCTCCCGAATAGGCTATATGTCAATCAACATCACGGAAGGCATAATCCAGTAAGAAATGAAAGGCTGGCTATAAAAACACTATGTGTGGTAAGTGTAACTTACTTTAGTACTCCATTACATGGCTGTCAAAAGCATTACTTAATATTTCCATATGCAAAACACACAGTGCCCCAAGAAGAAGTCTGGGAGTGTACATTGTGGATACTATGTATGTTCTATGATGAGTAACACCGGTGCCTACAGGAGACACCCCTTAAGGGTAAGTTTGAACCTCTTCACCCGTAGTATAAAAACTTCGCACATGATATGAAATACTAAACTGAAACTTGTTCTCTTGTAGTGGAAAGAAGAGAAAGAAATAAAAAGAGACACATACAAGGATGACCAACTCTTAGAGCTCGTCGGCGATCTTTGCAACTTTATATTGGACCAGATTGTATACGTCAAAGGCAGGTACCATGACCAAGATAAAGACTTAGGTAGAAATCCTCAGTACCAACACCTTCGTGAGACGGAAAGGCTAGCTCTAAGCCGTTGATAACAATGTGTATGGAATTTGACATTGGTCTTACCTTGTGGGACGGTTTGGACTGTGGAACGAATTAGACTTGTGAATTATATCTATTTAATGATGGATTGTATATATTCTTGTGAATTGCACTTGTAATGTTAGTTTATATAATGCTCTTTTGCTTGTGGTCAGATTTGAAATATATATGTTCTGGTCAGAATTTGAATTGTAAATGCATATATATATTCATATATACATATACATATATATATATATATGTTCTGGTCGAATTTGAATTGTAAATTTGAATTTTTTGAAGGAAAAATGTACTGTAGGTGTGGTTCTAGACTGAACCGCCTCTACAAATAGGTATTATAGGGGCGGCTGGTGCTACAGCCGCCTCTACAAATCAATTTTTAGGGACGGCTGGTAACACCAGCCGCCTCTACAAATCGATTTGTAAGGGCGGTCTGAGAACCGCCCCTACAAATGCATGATTTACAGAGACGGTTTGGTAGGGGCGGCTGCCCAAACCGCCCCTACAAACCCTCTAAAACCGCCCCTACAAACCTTGTGTGGCGTAGTGTGAATGGCGTGTAAGTGTTGCACCACATGATGCGTGCCTTTCAGCATTTCCGCCAACATGCTCCCAAAGCAGTTTTCCATCGGTTGCCAGCTGGTAAATGTGTTGCACGATGCATTTGTTTGGACCAATATGTAAAGACTTACCAGACGATATCTTTGGATGCAGATGTGGATAACACTAACACCACGTATATGCATGAATTCGAGGAGATATTTCCTCACATAGGAATGTGGACAAAGATGTAGTTTGAATTCTTTGATAGTGGATTCAGAACTCTGTTAGATAATATGACTTGCTTTTTGGTAAAATAAAACCTAATTTTTTTTGTAATGGGAATTTATTTATTATATTTGCTTAGACACTGGGCGCCATTACAACATAATGATGGAAAAAACAGAGCTTTTGTTTCACACTTGGTAGTTGCCTCACTTTAGAGTCGGGTCTAATTATTAGATCTGATCAAATAAGGTCAGGCCACGAAAAAAATTGTTAAATCAGAATCTTTGGCCCAAATCTAACCAGACGCACTGATGGATCGAGTTGAGTCGGACTATTTTCTGGGTTTTCTACTTTGGGTCGGGTTTCTTCAAGTTGGATCAGATCGTCATAGGTTGAAAATCACGACCCCAACCTAACTCAATACATTAGTGGGTCGTTTTTTTTGTGTGTGGATCGGATCGGGTGGCTCATGATAAGATATAAATGTGGTTCTCCGCGTCTAATAGATTTTGTTTTTATTTTTACTAGCAAACATACACGTGCGGCGTTGCATGAAACCTAGCACATTTTTTAAATCAGGCTCTTTATCAAGGGTCATAAATCCGGGTCACAAACGGCGCGATGGCAATTTGGAAAGTAAAAGAAAAAAGAAAAAAGCACTTCCCTATTTAATATTATATATAAATATATAGATTATTGGTATGTTATCAAGAACCCGTTCTTACATCCAGCCTGGAGTCATGATTATGTGTTTGTGTTGTGGTAGCATCTGTCAGCTAATATAATGTTGTAGTCTAAAAAAAGCTAATATAATGTTGTAATAGTTTGAGACCAATGCCCCCTCTTTTATTTAGAAGGTTGAGATGACATGCGGTGCGCTCTGACGGTTGTGTGAAAGTGGGTTGCCTAGGGTTAGTCGTCTGAGCTAGTGTGTTTAGGTTTTTTGGCGATTTCCCTTTAAAAAATTGTGCGCTAGTAAGGTTTTCATACCTGGTTTTCCTTATAAATTGGGTCAATTTCATCTTCTTCTTAATTAAAAGACAGAGCTCCTACCATTACGTTAAAAAAATAGAAGGTTGAAGCTATAACTCTTCTCGCTAAAAAAATGTCCCTATCATATCCCTTGATTAGTTTGTTGCTGCTCTAGTTGGTTCTAGCCTGTTTACCGCTGTTGGTAAATTACCTTTTTATTTTAAGTGTCAAATCTTTGCTGGTAATCCTTAGCTTAGCAGAGTCTGTTGTATTGTGTTTGCTTCTGCTTCCTCTTAATGAAACACATGCTCTGAGGACACAATCAGGGAAAAAAGAAATCCAGTGGTGCACGAGAGCACATGCTCTTGGGGGGCAGAATTTACTTTCTCCTCCTATCAGCTATCAGCTAGTAGCATGCATAAATATTATTAACTGATGGATGTTCTTTTCCTTTTAGATACGTAGATAACGGAGTAGCCGTCTTTTCCACACGCAAAAACGATTCGATTCTATTTACTACCCAAGACTTTGAGCAACAACTAGCTGGGTCGCTTGTTCCTCACCTTGCTTAGCTAGCTTGCTCCTATCTAACAATCCCGGCCGCCGGGCAAATCATGATGGTGGTTAATTAAATTCGCCAACAGTTTACTTGCTCAGCTCGAGTTATCGTTTTGCCGACGACACGTACAGTCGTCGTCGATACGTGTCTGTCTGTGGTGATGCAATGAGATTTCTATGGATTGTTACCTGAAACAGGAACAATTAATCATCTTGTAGTATGTACTGCGTGATTATATATGATTATGTCATCAATCGTACGTCATGGCTCCTATAGTTTGGTGACGTACGTACACTGGTGAACGACAACTGAAGAAGAAGACCCCATCACAATAACAATACGTTATAAGTAGTTTTCTACCTACGTTTTTTCAACCTACCTCACGTCACGTGGTGCTGGCGAGGGTGAAAAACTATCTCATCTCGATATGTATAACGATTACCGGTCTTATAAAACCGCTCCGCCCAATGAATGAACACATGTATATGTAACCATACGTATATCTACATATGAAACTAATTGTACTCAGTAGGGGTTGCCCCCTACTGGAATTTTATTAAACAACGAATTAAAAGTTTACAGAGCCGTCTCATGAGACAAAGAAAGAAACAAAAAAGATCATACAGATTATATATAAGCTTCTAGCCATTAAGAAATAAAAGGTTGATAACTGAATGCCGGGATGAGTCGACGCTCACGGAAGAAACTCACCCGTAAGTCATGTCTCATCACGAGCAGAAACTCCCAAAACTTCCGAAATTAAACTCCTGTGTCATCAACTAGCTTTAGTGGCCGGCAAAACCAAACCCGCGCTCCGCACCACATCATGTCGGTTGGGTACGACCTCGCCATGCCACGCCTCGGCTCAGCTCGGAGGCAGCATGCGCGTGTGGCACGCTCTAATCCTCTCTCAACTTCTCAATATAAGCCCATACAGTCCACCCAAGTTAAGTCAATATATCTAGGGATGTAAACGGATCGGATACGAACAGATATCACTGATATTACATTTGTTTTCATAATTCGAATACGGATAGTGTCAGCTATGTCGGATAAGATACGATTGGATATCGACATCATAAATATACAATTTAAGTATTCGGATACGGATACGGTATCGGATGTTGAATAAACGGACTCGGATACGGATAGATCTGAACTCCTCTAAACGGATTCGGTCTCGAATACGGTCGGACAATATCCATACCGTTTTCACCCCTAAATATATCCAGTCAAAACCCCATTTGGGACTAAAACTATAATGCACGTAACCTTTGTTATGAGTCCTAGTATTTATTTGATTTAATTGAATTAAAATAGAGCAAGCCCATTATTAAATCCAACGCCGACCGTGTGTGTGCACGCGCGCATAGTGAGCTTTTGCCGACGATGTGTTCATCGTCGTCTCTCATTTTTTTGTAACATCATGGGATACCATCCATCTTAAGATGGCATAGCGAGAAAAACCAAATCATTATTATTTACAGTTAATACAATTGGGCCAGAAAAGTGATTGAAGAATGGGAAAGTAGAAACACACGTAGAAGGCAACTATCTAACACATCCTCGTTTGCCTCCCATTTTTTGTCGAATTTCCTCAGCAATCTTGACGATAGTAAAGAATATCATCCTGTATGTCACCATCATTCCACAAACGATCGCAAGGTCTACCCATTTCGAGTACCCCAACTCCACCTGCAATTTAACCTTGAGGACTTGAATGCCACTGATGGTGACATTAGACTCAATCAGCTGATCACTTGGGAAAGACAAACCCATGAACTCGTTCTTGTAGAGTCCTTGCACTGCATACTTGTGGAAGGACATGTAGTAGCAGGGGTACTTCCATATGGCCTTTGGGAGCTCATTAGGAAGGCGAAAGAAGCCCCCATTTTGCATCATCACCCCCTGCACTCCAGCTCCAATGATGATTCCCATAAGGAAGTCCGGAACAATCGCAGCAATAACCATCATCATGCTCTCAACTAGAAGGCAACATATGCAAACAACCATGACGAAATAGGTGAAGTGATCCACGCCTTTAGTTAGTCCGGTGAGATAGTATAGCATTGCGCCGGGTAATACAGCAATGACAGACAGGTATGGAGTAGCTAAGAGGGTGTTTGAGATCACAAATTCTGACACGCCGTAGTGGCCACTCAGCCTCTCCTTTCTGAAGACCTGAAACAAGCTCAAAATGGCGGTAGTTAAAAATATGCGCGAAATTGAGGTCATAATTAACTGTAAGCAATAATGTGCTAATAAAAAACTGAACTTACTTTTCACTTATTAATTACTAATTGGTTTAGAAAATTAAAGGGAAAATATAGCATTCCATATTGGAAAATACAACCCACTAGTTTATATATGGTTCCTCTACTTGATAGAGTTTCTTCTAATTTGAGTGAAATTAACATCCCACTCATTTTGTATTTTTTATTTTCAATATCAGAAAGTTAATTCATGGTAATTGTGAATAAATTTGTCTTGAGCAAGAAACTAAAGCAACTTTTTGGAAGGGGGAAGAATCAACCTTTACGTCTTCTACAAAAGATGGAAATCCTCCAATAGACATGAAAGTTAAAAGTGCAACTGTATACATTATTACTGAACATCGGCTCTGCAAAATCCAAGACATATCACTTTTACATAGACAAATAAATATTGGTCCTATATATAGCCCTACCTGAATCATGTTAATCAGTTTATTACCTGGATAGAACTGTAGCTATAGCCAACTTGGTAGAAGATAGTGCCTAGGCATATGCCAATGCCCATATAGATGGCCAAACGCATCCAGTAATATCCTATGTCCCTGTGCATATTCAGGAATGATCTCCTTGTGAGCACAAGGAGCTTTGTGGCGAAGCTTGCTTGTTCCCTCCTCCTAAATGAAGCTCCATCCTGTAATATATATAGAGAAGTAATTAAGGACTAAGGAGTAACAATAATTGTTTATGCAGTCAAAATATCCTTAGATTGGTCAATTATACATTTCTCATTGCTCTTTGCAGTCAGTGCGGTATTCTCGTTTCCAGTAGTGGGTACGGGTGCTCAACTTACCATGTTTTTCATTTCAACAATTTGTTCTGTCGTTTTCTCTAAATAATTGGAGGATCTGTATGCAGTCGCCAAGATGTCTATTGCTTCAGCTGCTGTTTTCCTGTTAGCTGTAGAACTCTCCACAGTTTCCTATATATATATATGATGATATTAATTAGATAAATGAAAAGTGAAGTTGCACTGAATTTGTGACGGATCATAGGATCGAGTGAGTATATATACCTCATCAAAGTCTTTATTGATTGTTCTTAGGAAGTGATCTGACGGGCTTCTCAGGTGTGGACATGGAAAGCCGTTGAGAGTGAAGAACTGCATGCATGCAAGGAACATTTTATTTTATTCTTCTATTAGCTTACGCAGTTTTGACAACATATATCATATATGCAATCATATAACCATTTTATTTTTAAGAAAGTCCCGCATCTCAGTTAAAAAGAGAGAGAAAGTTTCGCATCAACGCCTATGGTATTCTTTTAGTATATATAAGAAATAGGAACAGATGATCTTCGTGTTACCGAGGTTCCATAGGCAAGCTTCTCCTGCCGGCCATTGATTAAAATCAGCCCTGTTTTATTCATGCCTGGTCCTAACCTTCCTGCAGTGAAATGGTGATAATATCCAGGGTTACCTTTGAATTGAATGCTCTCATGATTAATGTTCCATTTGAATGAAACAACAAAAATAAAATGATAGTACTATATAGTAAATTGGAAGGACTATGATTCCAATCATCCATTAAAACGGTTTGGTGGAGAATCTAGAGTGGATCACCAGGGACAGATGGAGATCTCTGCAAATTAATTAGAAGCACTTAGGGGTGGCTGGGTGGGCATTCGGTTCTCAATTCGGTTTTGGTCAGGTTCTTCGGTTACTGATGAAATTTGGTTTCTAGAAAATGGGAATTGATTGGTTCCATGAAATTTTAGGAACCGAGCATTTCGGTTTTCGGTTATTTTGGTTCGGTTTCGATTCTAACCGAACTTTTCAGCAGAGGTTAATACAACAAAAAATATGCAGGCTTTAAAGCAATTTTAGGCAACACTACCTTTATTTTATATAATAATAATTGATAAGGGAACAATAGCAATATAGTAACACAAATACATAGCAATTCAATATGAGACATCACACATAAATCAAACATAGTCATATAAAATACATGCATGTGAAGTACAAGTCATGTATTTCGATTCTTTCGGTTAATTTTATCTGAGAGTAGGAACCAAATTTTGCTCGGTTATTTTGGTTCCTCACAATCTGGAACTGTACAAGGAACTGATTTTTTCAGTTCTAGTTCTTTCGGATTTAGTTCTGGTTCTTTCAGTTCGGTTTCTCAGTTCGGTTAGTTATGCCCACCCTTGAGATGCACACATGCTGTCGAGGAGAGCACATCAGCCTCCCGTGACATGTTTGGTGGTGAATGCGAAAGCAGGCTCGCAACCAATCAGTATCAAGCTGCCCCAAGAATCAGGTCCACCGTCCACGTATTACCATGAGGCCTAGCTATCTGCTTGCAGCATCTCTACTGTACGTGTACATGCTTATGTACCACAAAAAAGGATCGATCTTGCCACAATTTTTCAGTACCATATATAATACCCCAAACACAGGTGATGGTCAAGTTGAATGAGTGGATAGTAGTAAAGAGTTTATATCAGTTTCTTGTTCTGTTTTTTTTTCTCTTGCTAAGTACTAGGAATTATATTATTATTCTTGTCTTTCATGCGAGGCAGGATCAGTTTTCGCTAAGCAGAAATCAGAATATTCCAAAGTTTTACCTTTTCATTCAAAACAAAATATGCCTTGTATTTCCAAATAATGGTGCGACGAGCTTGATTTTTTTCCCCATACCTCAGTACTTGACTCATGCATGTCCTAACACTTAGGAGTAGTAGTCGTTAACATGACAGATCGACGATAGCAGGAAATTTGTGTAAATCGCGCTGCTATCGAGTAGAAAACTATGATTTTCGTATGCTGCACATTGTGATATAATGACTTTGCATAATTAGCACAAGGATGTCTGAACAACCACAAATAAACATGCACACAAAGCCTATGCATACCTCATGACCACAGTCAGTACGGACGCTATCAGTTGAGATTTTCACTATGATTTTAGAAAATGAAATTTGGTTCACAACCTTATTTTTGACAAAGGCTATTTTAGCTAATTAGCTAACAAACACAAAAGGCACCATGGACACATTCAGAAGAAGAAGAATCATCAAAAACTAAGTTCATTTTTTTTAAGAACTAAGGAATTACTAATAGCTAGGATTTCTGCTGAGGCTACCATATAGTCATAGCAATGTAATGTTCCGATTGGACGGGAACTGAATGCCTATACACAGAAGATTTCTGCTGAGGCCGAGACTCACGTGCGTGGTCACTGAATGGTGTAGGATCCATCGGCAATAATGGTGTCAAAGCAAAGTTGGTGCGGGACGGTAGCATGGCCAGTGATTGCAACTGCTTCTGCTGCAATTTCTGAATTTTTTGCAACCTCTACGTAAAACATTAATTATCTAGGTTCATTAGTAGTAGTAATATTTTTTGCTGAGTCCTGTTACTAGGCATGGAGTGCTACTGTTTTAGCAAGCAATAAGCTGTGTTACTTCCCCATCCATGAGAGACCATTATGAATGAAACATGCATGTCCAAACGAAGGACCTCATATATCTTACATGAAAAGTTCTGAGAATTTTTTTTTTAAAAAAAAGCAAACATGCTTTGTTTGCATGCGTGTGATACGAATGAGTTGCACCGCCTGGAGTACCTCCGATCCATGCCAAAAAAAGAAGATATAACTCTTAGTCTAGTTCTAATCAAACATCATAATTTTAACTAAGTTTATAGAAAAAATAATATCAACTTTTATAGCTTCAAATAGATACGTTATGAAAATACAACACGTGACAAATCTAGGGTAGTTGTTTAGTATGTTAAATATTAGTATATTTTTATACAAATTCAGTGATTAAAATTGATTGACTTAATTAACATTATTATAGACTTTTATTCGAAGAGCAATGTCAGGAGCTCTGGCTATCAATAATTACGAAAGGAAAGCAAATAGGAGAGGCTGGCCTTATTATCAAACTTCTTGTGCTCTCTGTCATGGGTGGCAAGAAGCTAGGCTGCATCTATGTCTTCCTCACCCCTTTGCGTGGATGTCTAGAAGACGGTCCTACAAATGAAAAATCTAATTAAGCATACAATCCTGAAATATAAGTTATTATCCAAGTGTTTTTTTTCAGACTAAATAAAGACCACCTTGCCCCTCTCTAGGAGATTGGTGGGAGACCGCATCAAAGGAAGTTTCCAAAGAACAAAGACTGGATTTCAATGGGGTTTCCATATAGGTTATGTACGTGGACAAACTTATGGGAAAAGCGGGGGTGTCGGTGAATTTTCGAAAACGAAAACCTTAGCACATAGGAGGACATCACTACTACAGAACTAACATCTAGTCCCGGTTGGGAACTGGTTTTAGTCCCGGTTTCCCAACCGAGACTAGCGTTCCGAGACTAAAGGTGGTGTTCTTTAGTCCCGGTTTGCCATAACCGGGACTAAAGATCCTCCCAGCTTAAAAAAAATAATGCCTCCCACCGCTGCGCCCTATGAGATTCGAACCGAAGACCTCATGCACTGTCTCGCGCGAGCTTACCACCCCACCTACACAACACATCTAACAATGGATGGGATGCTTTCCTTTTGAAATAACCCATCGGGGGACCTTTAGTCTAGGTTGGTGCTAACCGGGACTAAAGGGTCTACCTTTAGTCCCGGTTGATACCAACCGGGACTAAAGGTTGGAGGACTTTTAGTCCCGGTTGGTGGTTCCAACCGGGAGTAAAGGAACCTTTAGTCCCGGTTGGTATTATCAACCGGGACTAAAGGAACCTTTAGTCCCGGGGGCAAAAAAATACCGAGACTAATGTCAAATTGGGATATCGTTCTAAAGTCTGTTCTCTAGTAGTGCATTGACCAACGCACGAAAAGCATTTCAATTCATTTCAACTTAGTAGGAGCTGGCTTCCGCCATGCATACATAGGGTACTGTACGTGTTTGTATCAATTTCCCTTCGAGTGGGGCAATAGCTTAATTAAGGCTGTTTTGTGGCCCTTATGAGAAGTCTTAGCACGTACTCCCTCTATTCTAAATTATCAGACGTTTTGGCATTGCTAGATATATAGTTTTTCACTCCATATCTAGACATAATTGTATAGCTACGTGCATAACAAAAATCATGAATCTAGAAAAAGCCAAAACGTCGTCTTATAATTTGGAACGATGAGAGTACTGTTGTAGAGTCCGATCCCATCCTTTGTAGTACGACCCAATGAGTGATTAGATATATTGTTTTATTTTAATTAAAAAAAGAAGACTCCATCCTGGCTGGTCCAAACGTATGTTCTGCTATCAACACGAACTAGATACAAGAAAACAGTAGAGAGATATGATGTACTACATGCTACCAGCAGTCCACAATCCACATGTAGTAGGGATTATTATTGTTTTGTGGCCGGCCGGCCGTTTTGTCATCAGTAAAAGTACTAAGTACGTACGGCCGGCCGGGCTCATTAATCGCATGCATGCATGGATGGATGAGACTTGACACTTGAGAGTGCATGCGTGGGGTGGGGTAGTTATTAGGAGATGATGAGGCCGGTGACGAACGAACTCACACTCACCTGCGAGGGTGTCGAGCAGCGCCGTCTTGCCACCGCCGGAGTATGACTTAATAGTTTTTATTTATATTAAGAGGGGGATTATATAAAATTCTTGTCATATATACCTATTAATATCTTTTAGATAATATAATTATATAAAACACAACTTTGCTTGTCACAAGGAACCTAATGAGGTCAGTTGCACTTAGTTTTTACATGTTGGCTCTTTTGGCTGGCCCCCCAAGTATAATTCCTGACGGCCGGCCCCCCTGAACTTAATTCCTGGCTCCGCCACTGCAGAGGGGCCCATGATGGCGAGCACCTCCGATCCCTGGGGCGAGCGTGCCCGCTGATCCCGTCTAGGATCCTCACGTCCGGCGCCCCGCGAGGGCCGCCGCCGCCGGCCGCCGAAACGCGCACGTCCTCCCACGTTAGGAACGCCCTGGGGTCGCCGCCGTCCTCCCCCGTTGATGATGGCACCACCACCTGCAGCTCGCACCCCGATCTGGGGACGACGACGACGCAGGCTCTTTCGGCGGCGGCCGCTCCGTCTGACGACGCCGTGCCTCGGTGACGCCGGCCGCCCCACGCGAAGACGACGCCGCCGCCGCCCCAGCGCCATAGCGTCTGCGACGGGCTCGGCGTCGGCGCCCACCGCGGCAACGACGACGACGACGACGTGGCCACCATGGCTACGTATCGTGCGTGCCGGCAGCAGGTTGCGTCCGATCCCTTCCCTTTCCACACACTCTGCTTATCGATGCCACGGGTGTCAAGGCAGGTCGTACTGCATCCAAACCGGCCAGGCGTCGAGACTGGATCATCTGGCCGGGTACGTTGCACCGCGCCTGCCGTGGAATTATATGAAAACGATTGCAAACGGTCAGACAAAGGCATCCTTGTCTAGGGCGTCGCTGCCGCATCGGCCCGGCCCGCCCGATTTGCGTCGCGCCAGGGCATGCATCACCGTCCATCTCCATCCTTAGAGTCATTGTCTCACTAGTCCATCCATATTGTACACTTATTTTGGGACCAAACGATCTTATCTTATCTTTCTATTACTAATTAGCAGGCCCGTGCTGGGGGGGGGCAGCCTGTGCGATGCCCATGAGGGTACCCATATGTATACTGTATAGTAGATGCTATCAGCCCATACGCTGGCAAGACAACAGTGCGTTATAGTAACACGATCTGCTATATACTGTCTTAGTGTCTTACTGGCCCAGGGGCCCATGATCTGCTAACAGTGCGTTATACCCATGTGTATACTGTCTTAGTGTCTTACTGGCCCAAGGGCCCATTAAATTTGTGGGACGGCCCTGCTAATTAGAGGCCCCAACGGAGGCTCCACGAGTCCACGTTGATTCTCACCAGATGCGCTAAGAAAAAAAAGATAAATGCTAGAAATTCTCACGTTAATCAGAAACATCTAGCCATCAAATCAAAATACTCTAGCCATCCATAACCATTAGATCTATTTTATTTTCTACAAAATTGCCCACATATGTCATTATAGATTAAAAAATAGACTAATATCTAATTTTTTTCGGAGAAAAAAACCTTGACCGCTCGGAGAAAAACGTTCCCAATTAGTTACTAATAAAAAAATACGGCAATACGCCCAGGTCGACGGTTAGTTTAATCTATTAATAAAATTCGGATCAATTTATGATAGCCAACAAAATTAAAAAAGAGTATGAGCTCCTGCTGGTTCCATCCAGAAAGATCGCAGGGGCCTCCGTCGTGGGCTCGCAAAGCATTTTCTCTGAGGTGCCAGGAGCGTGAGCTGGAAAAGTGTGGAAAGAGAAAAAAAAAACAAGGATGAACGGCGGCACCGCCGCATTCTATTAGGCCGTGCTCATGCATACATAGCCGCGCAACGTCTCATTAAACAAATACATAATAGCTAAGCAATATTTTATATTTTATAAGAAAATTATCTATATTGCCATTATAAAAAATACATAAATAACTCTCTAACTTTATATCTAAATTATGCATCACTGCTATTATAAACTATAATTCAAAAAATAACTCCTAAATTCGTATCTAATTACCCGCAAGTGTCATTATAAAAGATAATGCAATGTATCTCTAAGTTTGCATCCACACTACCCTCGTATGTCATTAACAAAGATAATTATAAAGTAAATTGGGAAGTTATTATACGACAAATTAAAAAAATCTATAAATCTACATGCGCATACTAATATAATATAAGTTATTACGACAAATAAACTGATAACCACTATTATTTCAAATAATTTTACTATATGTTAACCAAAACATTATGGCATATCAATACTGGTAATCTATTTTAATAAATAAATAAACAAACACTAAATCATGTGTAAATAGTAATAAACAAACACTAAATGACATTTAAATTATTTATACCAGTTTAATATATATTAACTAAAATATTTTACTACAACATACTGGTAATTTAATTGTAAGCGTTTTGTGTTTTTATAAAGCAATAGTACTACACAAAATTAATTCTTTCATATAATAAATTGAACATCTTGATTGTCGTTGTGCATTTGTAACGACTTTGTCATTATAGTACATAACAATTTAGCCTAGAATCTGCTCTCTTTTTTAAATAAAATTAAAATATGTTATGGTAACATGTTGATAAATATATTAACCTCTGGTCAACCCATCTTAAAATATTAATGTATTTATCTTGAGCGTTCAACCTACATCTTTAACTAAGTAATCTATCTTATCCATTTGGTCAAAAAATCTGGTAACAAATCTATGCGACAATGGTGGAATTGAATCCAAATAATATATACGATCTACAAGCAAACAACATCAGGGCTTCAACGGCACATTGACACACAATGCCATCACATGCGACCATCAAAAGCAGAAACTCTAATGATGTTGCCACCATCAATAAGGTAATCTATCAATGCTCCTCCTTTCTTCTACAAGTAACTTTTTCCATTAAATACTATGATTGATATATCAATCCAATTGTTGTCACATCACACATCTATTGATGATAAGCAAAAACTACATCATAGAACATCACACCAACCTAAGAAAGTCATCTACATCAACAAGATGACTCTGAAAGAAGTGGCACAACATCTTATCAGGATGGAAACATAATAGTGTTGCCACCTCCTTTTCAACATTGCAATAAATACATATCAAATAATTTGAAATATGTAATAACAATATGCCAAGAGATCAGAGCAACAACTTAATTACGTTGATGACAATCATTCACAAAGCAAAAGATTAGAAACCAACAAATGAAAACCCAAACATCTATTGTATGGACTTCCACATTGACCTCAAAAAAAATTATTAGACAAATCAAGAAAGACTACAATTTGTGAAAACAATTGAAGATACATATCTCAATATCCAAGATTGAATCATTTAAATTTTATTTGCAGGTCAGCAGGTGAACTAACCTTTCAATACTGTTATCCACACAATTCAATTCCAAAAAGAGACATCCAACATGTCCATATATGGCACAAAGTTAGTTATACTGGGACACAAAACATAGAAGGAAAAGAAAATGCCAAACAGTGGAATCTAACTAATGTTACATCATTAGCTATGCCACGACGAATCTCTCACACATGCCAATGCTATACACGTATGTAATTCCAGATTGAAATAAAAGTTTGTCGTATGAAGAAATTTTTTAGTTAATATATATCAAATAGGGGTTTCTATTGTTTATATAAAGTTAACCCGTGAGGGAACACGGGTTGATGGACTAGTGGGTATATAGTTTTGAGACAACATTGTGTGCTGTGGCTGGTACTATATGTACGTGTTGACCCCTAAATAGCACTAGGATGAACTGAGAAATTAATATTGATCGGCAAAGCTCTTGCCGTCTTTTCTAAAAGAAACTCTGAAATTAAATTAGAGGCTCCATTATTATATTCATATATCTATCACTCACTCGTCTTATAATTGGGCCCGGCAGAGTCGGCCGATCTAGATAGAGGGCTCTGTTCGCTTGAGCTTATAAGCCAGAATTATCCTTACTTTTTTAGCCATAAAATAATGTTTTTCTCTCACAATAAATGAGTCGCAGCTGCAATAAATCTTGACGAACAGAGCAGAGATATGATGGACCAGGTTCCAATGGGGGGCTCCACGCCTCCACCTCCACCTAGCTAGGTGAGTGTGGCCGCCCATCAACGACGATTGCCCGGCCCAACAGCCCAAGCACACTTATTTCTCACAGAGTAATAAACAAATCAAAATGTGTAATAAAATGGTTCCTGTTTATATATCGAAAAATATGCATACTGCATAGTACACACAAGCTAGCTAGCTATAGCTTGAATTTATTAGTGAAGATGATATATCCTACAGAATATATTTACAACTGCTTTCACGCACTAATTTCTGACAATACATATAGTCCTATAAACAGTTGATTCAATTTTGGCCAGATCGAAAAACTTGTGTGCCCCACTATTTTTTTTTAATTTACCCGAAAAAGTGAAGGAATGTCAAGAACGATGATGTATAATCTCTATCTCTATCCCTATAATACACCACTTTAAATTATCCTACAGTCACCAAACAAATCCCACCTCTACAGTCACGATCTAAACTACGTCCACCCTACAAAACGCACACAGAAAAAGATGACATTAAAAACGTGCACACCAAATTAACTCACTCATTCTCTCTCCTTACTCAACCACATCCGACGGCCGATATTCTTTGATCTCCCACCCCCTATCTCCCCACTTCACACGTCGGGTCTGATGCGAACGCGACTGCGGCTTCTCGTGGTGCTCCTCTCCTGCTCCCTCTTCTTCCTCGCCGGCTTCTTCAGCTCGCTGCTCTTCACCCAGTCGCGACAATGAGCCCCGCAACACGCGTTCCGATTCGTTGCTGCCTGTGGCGCCGCTCCTAATCTGGGTGGGCTGGCTACGGTGCGGCGGGTGGTGGCGTGATCCGGAGGATCCGGAGGAGGCGGACATGCCGGTGCCGAGGGAGCGGCTGCTAGAGACGGCGTGGCCTGAGATGCCATACGGCGAGTCCGGCGAGGCTGCGCCGTCCGTAATCCCATACCAGGTGATGTCTCGTTCCGGTTCCATCTCCGCGAGGGCGGTTGCCCCACATTCGGCGTGATGAGCATTGGTGCGGGCACGTATGTTCGTGAATTAATTCTAAGCTAGCTCATGAATGAACTGACTTTGGTGGCGATATTCCTCGGTTGGTAGAATTCATCTTTTGGGTATTTGATGTGAATGATATCATGCAGCGACCCACTTTGGCGTGAAACTAACTTGTCGATGTAATGTTTCCCCAATTTTGACTGCACCTTGTGGGCAGCGGTTTTCTTGTGATGCCGATAACTAGCATGTGATTGTGGCGGAGTTTGGGGGTCAGATTGCGTGCATGCAATTTTCGTGGCCTCATGGTCTTGCGTGTTGGGAAGATTGATAAGCATTTCAAATTTAGCGAGCTTCCCGGCATAAGAGGAAAATGCAGGAGGTGTGGGTGTTGTGGGACTTTCGTGGCACCCTCACCAATCACAGTTGTATCTCTGTTTTACGCCATCGTGCAGCTAATGTAGGTTCCTATTACTCAAGAACAGTTGTTGCAATGAATGGATGCAGCACATTTAGATTTTATTGTGTTTATGCATCAAACAATTCTGCAGAGTATCGGCTACATTGAGCATACTT